TTGAGATGGCATTGGCATAGAAAGAGATGATTTCAATAAATTTTCATTTCTAAGAATCTACAAGTGTGTGCTCGGAGATGTGGGGAAACACCTGCGTCTGTGGTGTAGATGTTAAGCACCTCGCCGTTGCACGCAGAAGACCCGAGTTCGATTCCAGTTTAGGGGAATTTTTTATCGAGTATCTCAATCTTTGTGTTAAGACGTGGAATCCGTCTCAGTCTGGGTTGGCCCTTGTAGACTGGGTCAGAGCCTGCCTCTTAAATGGGTAAAAGCGTGTTGATGGAGAACGAGCTTTATATTTTGAAGTGGCGCAAATTGAAAAGCATCGTGAAAGTGTTAATCATTAACTCGCCCGGTGTCATGTAAAAAGAAAATAGTAGACGGCCTTTTATTCTCAGCTCGACGGGCAACTGTGCAGCATCCTACGAAAACAATCCAAGAGGGCACGTTGAGTGGGCCTAGCGGAGGGGTGAGGTTGGGGGGGGGGGAGTGGGCGGGCTAAACCCTTGGAAAATACGGGACAAGTGAGCTCAGTTGAAAAGACGCGCACGTTAACGAAAAGTGGTCAAATTGTGTCTTGTTCAGACCAAAAAAATTTCAAAGACAGAAAGTCGTACCACTGGGCCACTCTTCACCGACCTTAAGAAAACTGATATGCTCATACCGAAAATGACCTGGAAGAATCGTTGAAAAAACAACAACAATCCAAGCTGCTGTACTGTTATGGGAAAGTGAAATAATTTTATGTACTTTTTTAACATTTGTTTCATTCACACGGAGGTAAAAATGGATGATATTTTTTTTATTTTCACACAACTTGTTTTCTTTGCGCTGCGTTTCCCCTTCATTAAAATGGAAAAATATGAACTCATCTTGAGACAAGAACAAGGAATTTCGAATTCGCAATTTAAAGAATACAACATTATACTCTCCTGGAAATTGGATTACCCTTCTCATAATAGCTGTAATGCCACGCTATCGTACTGTCCACCCTTGATATCACACTTTGGCACAGGGGCAGCATTTAAAAGAGCAAGCCTAAATTCTGAGCCCTTATTCAAACTATTTTAAAATGTATGAGAGAAACCACACAAATATTAATTGACTTATGCTAACAATTTTTGTTAAAAGATAAGCGAGGGGCAACCTTCGTAGATGGCGTGCAGAAGAGAATGAATAATGAAGATAGTAGGATAACACTGAGGCTGTGTGCTTGAGAAATTGGGGGCAAGAGAAGGTGGGTAGAGATAAAATTCATAAATGGGGCAAAAAAAGCATCCGAAATTAAACCCTACTTACCTCCTTGATGGATGCCACTTTGTTCTGTAACAGTGAAGCTAAATCATTATAATATTTTGAAACATTTTAATTCGATGGTATTCCACTGCGAGAAACTTCTCCGTGGTTTATTTTGAGCTTGTCAACAAACACGTTCAAATAATTTTGAAAATTTGTTTATGTTTGAATTAGATAGTTTGATAAGCTTAAATCAAGCTATTGGATTTAGAGTGTTTTACCAAGCCATGTGCATGTGTTTCAATTTCGTCATCAGTGTGCCACAATTGTGGCATAGACTTTGCGTAATCTTAACTTAAGCCCATGGCCGTTTGAGGTCCAAATAATTAATGGTGAAAACCAAAGGTTGTGGTAAAAAAGTACAGTTCATACATAGATCTAGATCTGGTCTGTTTCTCTCGTACATGCACGAACCATGTGTCAACTTAAACTCTATTGCGGCATTTGATTGTGGCACTTTACTATTGGATCTACTCCGGTCGAGTAAGTGACACGGGCGTTTGGGACGGACTATCACTTTGATATTTCACGTTTCAGAATCAGGGCCTCGTCACTGTGGCGTGGCGACGAAGCGCTTTGCTGTCGCACGCCGGAGACCCGAGTTCCATTCCTAGATGAGGAGGAGATTTTTATCTAGTGTCTCGGGTTTTTTAAATTGGGATGTTGTATTCCCCCTAAGCCGAGGTTAGCTCTGACAGGCAGGGTCGGAAAACCAGTCTCTTAAATAACATAATATTAACTTGTGTCGATGGGTGCTTAAAAATACATGTACCTACATTAAAATAAATATCGTGAAGTCTTTTGGTGATGGGCTTAGCTAACTTACCAAAAGCTTCCAAAACAGTATTAAGGCAATGTTTAACAAAAATGTGTTGTTTTTTGTAAGTGTCTGAGAAAGTTACCCAGAATCAGATGGATGAACAGGGTCACCAAAGAGGAGGTGTACGGGAGAACAAAACAGTGCCCAGCATGAGGCGA